CCCGGAATAGTTTCTGATGCAGCAACGAATTCACCAGAGATTCGTCCGGTGGAAAGATTTTGGGCCATAATGAAGGCCAAAGTTCGAACATCGTCCAAGGTGTTTAAGAACGAGCTGTAGTTGAAGAAAGAATGGATGAAAGTGACCAAAAAGGCTCCACCATTGCACAAAATGTAATGAGGGGTCTTAAGGGAAAGGTGCGGGCTTTCGGCGATGGAAAGGAAATTGAATAAAGTAATTATGCCGAAACATAATCCATATGTATTAGTTCATTCCCTGAAAGTTTTAAGAAAATCCCACTCAAAAAAACACTTTTGCATTTTTTTTTCGAGTACAGTTCTGAATAATCATTAGGCTAGTACTACACATAATGAAAGAGAGAAGGATTAGTATTTTCCATTTAATTCCACTACTTTATTTGCTTATCCTTGACAGATACGCGTATTTCGTCTACAATGTGCAGACTTCTTCAGTGTCTTGTACTAAAACTCGACTGAAGAAAAACATCGCATTTACCGAATATATATTAACACAGGTACATTTTCACTTAGAAACTAGGTAAACTTAAATTTAATTTTCTATAGGAACAGGTACTCTGCTGCTTACTCGTTGATGTGTCCTAGGTAGTAACTTGAAAAGCCATGTCTTTTCAAGTTACTACCTAGGACAGATAAACGTATTACTTCTGCGTGAAGTCAACTATTTACATAGTTTGAAGATGCTAATTTCTAATAACAGGCTGAAGTGGTAATTTGTGGTGGGCGTTGGCCAAATTTGGATTTTTCAGATATAATCCTAAATAGGACCTAGATTTTTTAATACTCTAGTAACCTCAAGTCCGTGCTCTGTCACAATGTTTCATTGTGATTAATCAACACTCAAAGGGGTAAAATATAAAATTTGGGGTAAATTTGAAAGAAAGGGAACTTGGAGTGTAGAGCGCACTGCCCACTGGACGATTCTGAAGCCTGGCCTGGAGTGGGATATGGGTTTATTTGATTGAACGTCATTTCCAAGGTATATATTGATGCATTCAAACCATTGGCATTTAAGATAAGACAGAGATAGGATGCGGTGCGGAGGGCCCGCTTAGGAGGAGCGTAACCCATGTTATGGCTTCCATTTATTAAATAGTTCAGATAGGCTAGAAATGACAGGTTTATAGTGAGAGAATGTACCATTTTGGGAAAGCATAATTTTCATAGGATTCAGAGCGGCTGAGCTGTTCGTTTGTAGTTTGACCTTTCTTCAAAACCAATTTGGCTCTAGAACAATTTTAAACTTGTTCTGCATTATTCACATGTTGCAATTATTGAAAACAGCTCGATATAAGATAGCCACAGTGAACAGACGTTGAGGCTCCAAAATTTCTCTAAAAACTTGTGTAAAGATTCCTATTCGACTTAAGCGCCACTAACGGCGACTTCCCCACTAAAAAACCCTCTTTGACAACATGATGGCGCTGGCGTTGCAAAACTTACACTAGACACTAGTGCTGGTAGCGCCAAGTGGCAATTTTCAGCAGATAATTTATCGATACTAGCGCCAAATTGGTCGAAAGTGATAAATTTATAGAGGAAATCAGAAGATGCTAGCTACGTATCGGCAACGTTTCCACTTAACTTTACACAAGTTTCTGACCGAACTTGGACGTCTGGTCTCTGTGAGATAGCTTAATACAATTAAATAGAAATGCCAAAAAACTTACCGAGTAGTTTAGCTATATTGATTTCGGTACAGTTTGTTGAGATCGGGTATAGTTTCTGAGTATGGATGCCCATTTTAAAATAACTCATTAATATGAGTTATTTTAAAATGGGCATCCATTAAAATGCACAGAGTAATAGTTTTATTGCTAGGGAACTTTCTTTTGCGATCGTCTTTTCTTCATACAATTCTCATTATTCATACTATATTATTCATGATCAGTCTTAGAAAATGTTATATGTTTGAGCCCAGTTCTAGATTAGTTTGTTATTAATATATTTTGAATTGCGCTTCGAGAGGTTACCAAATATGGGTTCTCTTTTTCACCCATAATAGTTTGGGGGGAGGGGCGATCTGAGAGCTGAATAGAGGCAAATAAAATAGGGAACACAACACCATGACCCAAACGACTAACCACCCGAGCAAAGTCTGAGATCAAATGGAAATCTAAATTTGATGTTGTGATTTCGCTGATAATTATTACACAGGTTGTTGTCGTTTTGGTCGTTTTAACGGTTAAAATATCAAAATTGAGAGCAAAAAATCTTCCTGTGACATCACATTGAAAACTATTTCTGCTTTCAGTGAGAGCAAACTGAAAACTCAATTTGATATCATTTTTTTCCTGTTGATAACAAAACACATTTTTGAAGAGCAAATTTACAGCAAAATAAAAACAATATTTGGTATCAAAACAATATTTGATTTCAGTTTGATGTTGATATCAAAACTTGATTTCAATTTGCTGTCATTTTGATGCTGAACTTTGCTCGGGCAACGCATGCGGCTCACACTTAACTTGTTCTATTTCTTTCTTCCCCTCATGTACCAATATTATCTACCTGAGAACAAATGGGAACACGGCCAGCAGATTTTTAGCGATGGGCCCAATCTTAGATCCATAGGCCAACATTAGAGCCATTTCCTCTACCCCTCGATAACCAACGCAAATACAAAGTTGTGTATTTCAATGATGTCAAAAATTTCTTAGAACATGATGAATTGATCAAATTAAAAAAACACACACACACTAATTAACTCAAAAAACCAATATTAAGGTAGTCCAAAAAGAAAATCAATTATATCTCTTTAGTGTTAACATGTAGAAACCTGGTGTCTTGAGCAAATGTTCATAAAATCAACTGTTCTGCTACTTTGTGGAAGACATGGGCCCATGCAAATGGTTAGAATTTGGATGTGTAATACTAGCTTATTGATTATGCAGGTGTGTATTTCAAAAGATGCGGGATATCATTTCGAACAACTTCTTCGAAGACACCTAGTATCTAAACCATCAAAAAAGGACAGCAATTTTTTTTGACCGCCTTTATGCAGATTTGTTCCACTGTACGAAGGTGGCATTTTCCACCAACAAATTGCTGATTTACTGGAAAATTGCTCCATCAATTTCGTCCAAGTACCATAATTATTTTTCCAAGTTCTCTCAATTCAACAAAGATCTCAAGACATTTATGACCTTCTACAAAGACAGTTTCTTCGAATTTTCATAAACATTTTTATGAATTTGTTTAAGAAAAGTTTGTTAAACTGGAATTTCGGCTCCGTGAAGCAAATGAGCCTTAACAAATAATCAATTTATTCGAAATATATATGAAACAAAGCTCCTAAAGCATCCAATTAGTTCCATATCAAGCCCTGAAGTTCTAAGAAGTATGCTGAAGTTTTACAAAACTCCCTGGACCTCTAAGAAATTCGCTGAGTTTTTACAATTTTGGCTGAATTTCTCCGGATTTTCTTGAGGTTTAACAAACGACGCTTCTATGAAGTTTAAGGAAGTTTCTTGAATTGCTTTGTAATTCGCTTGAAGTTCTCAGAATTTTTAGGAAGTTCACTACACAAGATCGCTGAACTTTTTTGAATTTCGTTGAATTCCCGCGAAGGTCTCTGAAGTTCTTCAAAGATCCCTAAATTTTTACGGATTTAAGAGTCCATTAAACTCTAACGAAGTGCCCTGAGGCTAAAAAAACTTACAAATTAAACAAAGTTCCCTTAATTTTAACGAAGTTATTTAAACTTGTATAAGGCTGATGCTAGTAATATTTTCATTTTATATCCGACATAACTCGAATAGGTCGAGGGAAGGGGACAAAAAGAAATAACGAGGGACAAAAAAAATAGTTTCACAACTCATTCAATAATAAATTCTCAGACAACCATATAGAAATCATATAACAACCCTAGCAGCACACTTGTCACTGAATAGTTGTGGTTACGTGCATGTAACTTATGTCAGTCACAATCAAATTTCAGCAACTTATTATCACAGACAAACAGACGTAACTCTTCATTGTGTATCTTCGTTCACGCAATTAACGGTTGATTTGAATATTATCAGTTCCGCGAACTACTCGCCGCAGCGCTGGCATCGGATCACTTTGACGTTTCTATACATTTTATAGAACTTTTATGCAATATTGTTTGCGAGTTAGCGAACAAGCTTGTTTTCCGTGAGAAGCCCGAGAGATGTCGTTACTGAGGTCCTGTGTTTTGAGATACTATGTTTTCAAGAAAAACTTTGTCAAAGAGTTACGTCTGTTTGTCTGTGTTATTATGATCAACGTATCTTTTATCTTATATCTTTGATATCCGTACTGAGTACCAATGCTACCGACGCGAAGGAGTCGCCTTCCACACCTGGATCCTACACACTTAGAAAAAATGATATAAATTTAGGTGCTCTGAGACTAGCATATACGAGCGTCAATTTTGACATAAAATTGAGTCATATCAGAAGCGCAATTCAACTCAATCAAACGTACTATCGTCGAATAACGATCTTTTCAGTCTCGGAGCACTTAATTTTACATGAAATAATTGTTTACGTCTGATCCTTTATGTCAAAGATGGATTGCGTCACGTGTAAAATTAGTTATATCTAAGTGTGTACCTATCGACCCTTCAACTCATGGACCGGAGACCAACGGCTTTCGTATGTGGAGAACTTCAATATGAATAATTCTTCCGAAGACACTAGGGCTTTATAGTCGAGCCCTAAGTTGCAATTGAATTCAGTTTGCGGTATTGCACTTTTAAACCACTGTGCAGTGTGGCAGTTCCTTATCATCATCATTATTTGTGATAGCAATCGGAACTAGTTCGTTTTTCTTGGTGTTCTTTTTTTTAGTTTTTGATACAAAAAGTAATGGAAGTAAACCTAACTTTTCATCCAATCAGCGAATCTAGAGTTTTTCATCACATCCTAAAACATGTTCAACAAGATGGGAAATCAAAAAAAATATATCAAACCCAACACCATTCATCCCTGCACCTACCTTTGACTTCATGATGAATACGCGCTTCGTGGCGTTTTTCCCGCTCCTGAATACCGCTTACATACAGTGCCCGCCTTTGTGGGGAATCTGCTCACATACACAAACTCGTTGGCCGGCCGCGAAGGCGACGAACCTGCTCGCCTGTTTCCGTTCGATCGGTCGGACTTTCCCACCTGTTCCGATAGGTTGTTTCTTCTTCCGAGAGTTTTCCGTTCTCTACAGGTGCGCGTTTGCAAGAACTTTTGGCATACAAAACACAGACATCAGCCCTTTCGTTCTTTGTCACACCAGATAATTCTCCAAAACTGCGACTACAGGCTGTGACTTCTCCGCTGGCTAACGCTCATCTTGCGCTTAATCTGAATGTCGTGGATCGGAAAATTTTGGCCAGAAGAAGATTCAAAACGAGAGGAAGAAAGAAAGAAATCTTTTTCTTCGATTAAGTTGTTTGATTAGAAATGGTGGATTTTTTTTGGAGGGAAGCCATGCATAAACAAACGATAGAGAGGTGGCGTGATGAAATGAGCGTTTTTCGAAAATTGCTGCTATTTTCAGCTTTTGTAACGAAAAGCAGCGTGTGATACAAGGAAAGCTAAGAGTGAATTGGCAATAAAAAAAAAGCAGAGCACAAGTGCATGAATGCTTTACAAATGAGCTGAATTTGATACACAAAGTAGGCGTTTTATCATCGGTATTTGTTGGTTTTATGTTTCTGCTTCTTTCATCATAGCTATCCGGAATGAATTTCAATCGATTGCCGTGGCAACGCTGGCTGAATGGTGTGCATTGATGGTTTTATTTCGTTTTGGGAACTGGCGCGAACGAAATTTTTGGGAGCGAAAATCGGATCCGAAGTGTGAAGCATTTATATAATTTCACGATAAGTCACACACAACTAGCGATCAAAGCTCCGGGTGCGCACAGTTGCTAAGAAATGCAATATATGAAAGCAAATTAACATTGTTTCCAATAAAACAAAAAAACACCGAGCATAAGTGGAAAGAAAATCTTTGCTTGGAAAATTTCACTTTTATTTGACGCAACAGCTGCAGCTGAAGGCCCGTTTAGTTTGTCAGAGACTGCTTTGATAAGGACGGTTTAGGTCTGTGCACATTCCATTCGAGATTGGCTGGGTTTGCGGAGATTTACTATAGCCGGCACTCGGCGCACAAGTTGCATGATGTGATGCGTGCTTTTTTTTCACTTCGCGTAGACTGTAAATGGACGGTATTACTCCACATCTCCACTGAACTGTTACGTTAATCCGAAACGTCGTCATCGACTTATGGTCGTCGTCGTCCAGTGGCGGTATCTCGTTACTGTACACGGAGTGGTTGCCCGTTCCGTTCGTTTCAAATGCCTACGTGAAAGTGGTCGTTGATACGCAGGCTGACAGGCAGTTGGACAGGCTGACTAGATTTGGGCATCAACGGCAGCGGTCAACGGTGAAGGTGAGGATATATCTGAGTAGGCTGCTTTGTTTACTATGCGATCAAAACCCTTATGAAACGTCAGTATATGGCAAGATTTATATCTGACAACATCTGTCGGAACTTGTTTTGATTTTCTGGTGATGAATGTGATAGCAAATATGACTTCAATCGAGAGCCTAGTACAGTTTATGTGAGGTTGTAAAATTTTATCTGTAGGGGAAACGCTCCTATAGTTGCGGTACGTTAGAAGCGTTAGGTTCCTATGGTTGTGCATGGAGAGTCAATAACTAAAGTACTATAGGAGCGTTTACCCTAATTAATTAGGATAATCAATCAAAATTTAGTCAAGGAAAATCCATCGAAATTAAAAACTATCAGGTTGTAAAAATTGTTCAACCAGAAATGATAATGTCTCCATTCAAATGGATCTAATTACACTATGCAACACGACTTTCTAGACAGAAACCATATTTGACTTTCTTGCGGTTTACCGCTTCTTAATAAGGCTTTGCCACCCTACAGGTGTGTATGAGGCCAGCGAGCTTGCAGGACAGAGGTGCTCCGCGTACTAAAGACACCGCTAAAGTATAAGATATATCACCGGAATGAGGAATAAAACATTGAGATAGCGTTTTCCAAATGTTCTAGATAAACGTTACTTGAAACATTTGTATGGCCTTGGTATATGGCCAAAAATGTGAATAATGTCCCAAGAGGCTGATTTTATAAAAAGACGACACGCCAAAATTGGAAAAATCGATTTATCTATCAAAGTCATAGGAAAAGTTATTCCAATCGAACAGAAGACCTGTCTAATGTATAAGATGTCGCCTCTTTACCCAATTCAGTCTCTTTAGGCTGTGAACCATTTGGCGAGTTAAATTTAACTCGTGGTTAAAAGTGACATTTCGAAAGTTATTTTCTATGTTCGAAAATCCCCGTGCTGTCGATCGACCGGTTTTCGAGCCACGGTTGTCAAAATTTAACTTCTTGTCTGTCAGAAATAACCATGCTCGGATAGCAGGGTTCATCGATAACTTTCTATCTGTCAAATTTTAACCAAATGTTAAAATAATCCACCAAATGGTTCAGAGCCTTAGTCCCAATGTGTAAAGGGGGCCGTGAATCGAAGTAGGCTGCGCTGCGAAAATGACAAGTTTTTGTTATGCTGCGTCGTCTTCAATCTTGTGAAAATGTTGAAAATTTGCTGTTTCAGTTTTAAAAAGTGTTAATTGACAGGACTGAAGTGGTGATGAGAAGTGCATTGAGTGACCATTATCAAATTCCTCCCTTTCCATTGCATCAGGTGCCGTTTTTCGTAACTAACGCGTTGCACCGGTCAGGTAAGTTTATTTGCCTTTTCGTTCCTCTATAGGTTTTATCCCTCTAAATTGAGACAGTAATTTTAAAACTTACGCATCAATCAAGTGTTGTACTACTGATTGATTGAAAGTTTCAGTCAATTATCAAAGGTGTATATAAGCTTCAATAATGTTTTAGAGCAGGACTTATCGTGTGTGTGGAAATAGTTTTGGGAAATGATGAAGTATTCGGTTTGATACAGTTATCATTCTTGCCTTCATCGCAAGGAATCTATTATAATTTAAAGGTTCCGTTATTTATACCCTTCGAAGAGTGAGAGCACCCGCCCCTCTGTTATTCGAGAGGCACGACCCTTTGTCATTCAAGATTGGATTACTTAACAACAAAAAAAGCTATGACACCGATAATGATCATGCATCAGAACCCTAGTCTTAAACACTGCAAACTATAGTATAACGAATAGAAGATCACGAATCATATAGATGAAGACTAACTAACTCATGTTTCCTTGTTTCAAGATCATCCTCGGTTCAGGCAACCCGAGGCCTTAAAAATTCTTAAAAACTAACAAGGACTAAGATGTGTTCCTTTGATTACTGATAAATCCTGTCCCCTAGTTTGAAGTAGTCAGGACTAGGAATCGGTGGTAGATCTTACATCCTGTAACGTACCACGAAAAGGTGATCTATTCACGTTACGTGGTACCTTCTAACTCCAGGGTTCAAGCTTCTTGGAGTCATAAGAAATGATTGCAAACAGATTTTATTCATAATTCCACTGCCAGACAGTGGTGCCTAAATAACGTGACAAATATCCGGGTGTAAGGGAATGATGAAATAGGAAAATTAGTTTGCATCTTGGAGGTAAATTCATAGCTACAAATTTTCAATTTCCTATACATAGAACATATTAAAAAATGAGTAATCGGTACTCAAACTGAGTAAATGTTATTCAAAATTAAGTATTACTTGAGAAAAATTAGCATTAACTAGATATTTAATATCTAATATCAACAAATTTTGTTCTTGCATCTACAGGGTTACCCACTCGAAGTGTTACCTATTCAAACGACTATATTTTTTTTGTGTGAAATATTTTTTATTGATTCCAATGACAAAAATGTTTGAAAATACTCAAAATTTCAAAATCCATTCACTTTAGCTCGATGTAGCCACCTTTTGCCTTGACTATGGCCTTCAAACGGTCAAAAAACGAGTTGCATGCTGCACGAATGTGAGCTTGTGGTATTTTGGTCCATTCACGTACAATCGCTTTCTTCAGCGCATCCATACTGGCATATTTTTTAGTCCGCACCTTGCTCTCTAAAATGGACCAGATGGAAAAGTCCATCGGATTTGCGTCTGGTGAATTCGAAAGCCATTGTGTCGACGAAATGAAGCATGGAATATGATTTTTAACCATTCTTGGTTAATTTTTGCTTTATGTGACGGTGCCGAGTCTTGTTGGAACGTCCATGCTTTGCGCCCAAAGTGTTTGCGTGCCCACGGCTCTAAAGCAGCTTCCAAAATATTTTCACGATAGTAAGTCGCATTTACTTTGACACCAGGCTCGATGAAAACGATTGGAGAGCGCCCATCAGCGGTCACGGCTGCCCATACCATCACTTGCGATGGGAAATTGCTTCGGGTGGCCATTCGTTGGCTTATATTCTCGTACGTGCGTTCGGTCAAGTAAACACGATCGTTTTGAGAGTTTACGAATTGCTCGATAGGGAAATTTTTCTCATCAGAGAACACAATGTTTGTAAATTCGCCACGTTCGTGCAAGTGCAACAACTCCTTTGCTCTTTCGAGTCTAACTTTTTTTTTACTGTGGTGTAAGATCGTGTGCTTTTTGAAACTTGTAGGGCTTGACCTTTAGCTCAGTTTTCAACAGTCGTTGCATTGAACTTTGTGAAATTTTCAGCCCTTTAGCCATTTGATTGCCACTTCGACGTGGATTTCGTTCAAGTCGAGCCTTCACTTTTCGAATCATCTCAGGTGATGTTGCGGTTTTTTTACGACCACCTCCATGGCGTTTTGCAATGCTGCCAGTACTATTGTAACGACTTATGGTGCGATACACGAACATTTTGTTTACTTTGAGATGTTTTAGCTGCCGAACAATTGCTGGTTGTGATTTTCCAGCCAAATATAAAGCAATCACACTATTTCTTTTAAATTCCATCACGAATAACTTTTTTCTAAAAGACGGAGAGAAAAATGCTTTTGTAAGCTTGTAAACAATAGAATGAACTGTCATTGGTATAAATTTGAGCGCGCTGTCATTAATAGTGTGGTAGTTAAAGCAGTTTGAATCTGGTAACACTTCGAGTGGGTAACCCTGTATGTATTCTAAGTACACAAATTTTACCGAAATCTCAACAGCTGAACATTCGGCAAACAGTAATTTTTTACAGATATCTGTGAAAAATCACAGATGTTTGCGAAACAGTACAGGAAATCTGTGAAACTGTTTACCGAACGTTCAGCTGTTGAGATTTCGGTAAAATTTTACAGATTTCTGTAAAAATTTCTAAGTGTGTAGCCTAGATTTCCATCGAGTCATACAGAATAGCGTGTTAGAGAGGGATAGTTGACTGT